GGAAGTCGTTTTAAAAACATGTCATGTTTGCTTTGGAGGTACTTTCCGGTCCTTTGACTTATCCTATGGCCTTCTGACTTTACTATGCTCTGTGGATCTCGTGGTGAGAATGGTGGAAAAGTTCTCTGATTTGTTAAGATTACGTAAGGTATAAAAGAGCACACACTATCGCTCAATTGTCACTGGTGATGTAGCAGAGATGAGATCAGAGATAATTAATTTCTCTCTCAGTTTTCGTATTATTTCCTGTTGATTTTGGTGTTTCACCATTTTCAGAGCGCTGAAGTAAACATTACTCAAGTAACTAATATAGCTATTCGTTTGCGATCGATTGGTGGACAAAACTCGAGGAATAAGGTATGTGTTTTTTCCTTTTTTAATCCTCTTATTACTCTAAGCCTCTTCTGTTGCATTAAAATATAACGAAAAGTAAATACATTTATTAGAAAAGCCGTCCTATTTAGATAATACAACGGTATGAGATCAATATCAGATGTCGTGTATTTTTGTATGAGTTTTCACACTTTGCAGTTAGAACGGACGAAATTGCGACTAGAGGAGGAATGGGCTCGTTTTCAAGAGCAGCTGTTGAAACGAAAGCTAATATTAGCTGCAGCCGTTGCCTTTTTTAGTGCCTCGAAAGTGGTGGGTTTCATGACCTATGCAGCTGGAGGTTTCTTTCTTCTATATGAAATCGGTATTATTCCGACAAGTGTTTTTATTTGCAGTATTTTTCACAACTGCCAAGTTGGGTGGAGAGCCCTGGAGTAGATCCTGCTGGCATGAATGGAAAAACGGCAGAAGTTTTAGAAGAAGCTATTCAGCAGCACGAAAAATTCTGGTCCACCGTTGAGGAGACGTATGCGGAGGTACTGTAGCGGATGTTTTCGTAATGGTAATGTGAAGTGTAATCCCTTCTGACCTTATACAGTCATATAGTCCTTAGCAACGTACGGGTGGCTAGAGTAGGCCACCGCCTAATCTTAGACCGCGAGGCCTTGTCCTTAGCGTTCTATGGTCTATGAATGAACTTACTTCCTAATTCGCTTCGGATGGGCGTGTCAGGCACTATAATGCACCACGGCGCCAATCCCGATCACTGCCAGATGCTGAAGCAGATATGCGACAACAGTTCGTAGAAAACGAGTGACACGAATGACTACTACATTCTTGTCACTTCAACAACTGATGGGGAACTGGTTTGGCACCGCGCCAAACTCAACTCGTCTGACACGTCCCTTCGTTTGCAACGAGCTATACTATACCTGTATGGCCGCGTTCAAACCTTGCGACACTAGGGAATCGGAGAGTGCGAACTCAGGAAA